GGTAATAGTGTGACTTAATTGTAGATGTTTGTTTATATCCATTATGGAAAATATGATTATTGTGATGTTTTAATGTCATGCACTCTATCAGATAATAGTCTTAAAAGCATTTAAAAAGTGGGCTCCTAAAAATTTCCAGATTGTGGTAACTGGTAATGCACCTTAGATTATTTGGTCCCCACGTCCAGCTTGGAATCTTCGCTTTGTGACTTGTGTGCTTCTACTTTCTTAGAAGGAAAATCCAATGTTTTTGTTGATACTTGATGGACAAGGTTTGAATATTCTAATTTTGGCTTATTTGCAGGGGGCAGGGGTCAGATAAGTAGTTAAACTTAACCACAATTTACTTGTTTTATTTTGAAGTAGGAAATTTTGCATTTGCCTAATAACTCTTACTAGGTGATAGATAAGGTAAAAATAATCTGCTCCTCTTTTCAAAGTACTTATTCTATTGAGCTGTAAAATACATGTAAAAAAGCATACAAAATTGCCAGTCTTAAGTATATAGCTTGATGAATTTTTACATGTATGTACACCTGTGTAACCACAACCTAGATCAAGGTAGACAATGTCACATCCATCCAGAAAGAAATATTCCCTGATATACCTTCTGGAGAGTATTTCCCCTACAGGTAACACTCTTCTGATTCCATCACTGCTGTAGATTAATTAATTTTGTCTATTCTTGAACTTTAAGTGTAACCAAACAGTATGTGTTTGCTTGTGTTTGGCTTCTTTCACTTAGCATAAATTTTTGAGGTTCATCCATGTTGATGCATGTATCAATAATTCTTAATTTTTTCTGTGTGGTAGTCCATTATTATATAAACCTTCCCCAATAAAAGACAGATAATAAGTAGTAGAGCAAGCATTTGGTCACTTGGATTACAAGGGCCAGGCTGCCTGCACTTTGTGATGGTTACACCTCATTTTTTCTTAGTCGATCCATTACTTGGTGACAATGTGGGGCATCATTCTGAGAGATGTGACATAGTCCCATTACCTTTATGAGGTCAGAAAATCTAGTATTGATGCAAATTTTCTATGATCAAACACATCAGAAACTTCCATGTGATAATGGGACTTTATAATGAGAATTTTAATTGGATTATGTTCCCACTCTTAGAACATTATTTAACCTTAATTACCTTCCTAATGGTCCTATCTCCAAATACACTCACACAGGGTGTTGGGGCTTCACCATTTGAACTTGGGGGGATATAATTTGTTCTGTAACACTGGATTTTCTAGAAATGCATACAGCAGTAAAATGTTGAAGCTAAATAGAAGCTGCTCTCTAGTGTTCATGCTCTACTGTCTCTCATTCTTTGCCATATATTTTGTAAGAATAATAGTAGCAGTATTTATAATGCCATTAGTTTAGTTTAGCTCCTACTTGAGATTTTGAGAGCCTGTGTGAAACAGAGCTGTCTTATTAAATCTGTCTGCACTTCTCTGAAGTATAGTGAGTGTCATACACTTTAATGGTAACATCTTGTCACATTCAAAGAGATGTTAAAAACTGCAGTCTAGAAAATTGCTTTTAAATGGCCGGGGAAGGATATTCATATTCTCAGAGGGCACAGTGTAGAACATAAGGACATGTGATTCACTGTGAGCTTTTAAAATCTACAATGTACAGGAAAATTATTGATTTTTCTGACATTTCTCTGGGAGTATTAAAATAATACAGATGCAAAACTAGTCTTTGTAATATCATAAATTATAAATTTCACCAGTGCTCTTTAGGGAGTCACTCTGGTCCGTAGCACTTTCGAAATCCCTCATAAGATTTCAAGAAACCCTAGGGGGGTGAAATGTTTCTTAATTAGGCCCTGATTCTGCCCTCTTTATTGTTTTCAGAGGCACTGGCTCTGTCCTCTATCGGGAGTTCGTGATGTCCCCACTAAAGATAGGGTCCCCTGGCAGAATGTGTTGTAAGAGATGAATGAAACAAAGACACAGAAACGGAAGTAATATTTAAGAAAGCGGGGAAATCGGGGGACCACCGACACTCTGGTGCCAAGGTGGTCATGACTGAAACCCAGCACTTGCTTTTTATTCTCTTTCCCATACTGCAAAATACAATGATCTCATGTGAAAAAAATCACAGGATACAATGATCAAAGGTTTCAGGGCTCCCCTGAAAATCACAAGGTGTCCTAGCTAATTTCCTTCTCCTTTCTAGAAGTGAAAAACACATAATTTGTCAGTAGGTACAACCCTTTTGATCAAGGTAAACTAATTTTATCCCAAGCTCAAGCTATGTACATGGATACCAATCTCTAACTTCAGTAGCTGTGACCCATTTGATCAAGGAACAAAGAAACTACATGCTTTCCACAGGGAGACTGGTTTTACATTAACTGAGGCATTGTTGAGAGAAAGGGAGAGAAGGAACTTGGCCCGGTGTTCAAACAATGGAAGCCTTAAGACCCTTTTTCCCGGCTGACAAATGGCAATCTACCTCTACAGCCATGAGAAATTTTCATGTCAGGCCACCCGTGGCTTTTCAGGCATGAGACCTCTTAGGCTCTGAGGTTGGAGCATGCTTTGCTGTACTCCCAGATCGCTGATATATGTCCCCCAACTAGGCAGTTAACATCTGCCCTTATTTCAGGCTTCTGCTCAGGTAATTCCTTCACCTCATATCCTCTCATAGCCTCAGACATAGCATCCCTAAGTCCCAGTGGTTTTAGTCCCATCAGTCTTCTGGGGGGTTCTTCCTTTTTTTTTTTCCTGCTTAGCCACATATGAAGTAGGGATTTAGAGAATTCACTTTACTTGGGAACTGAGCAACCCTTTCTGTCCACTTCCTGCATATAGTAGGTTGGGGCCAGAGGATCATTTTAAGACTTCAACTGATAGGCTGAAGTCTTACTCTCTTTGGCAGCACAGTTCTCTCCAAAAATCTGTATTGTGTCTTGTCTGTTTCCAATCAGTTCTATGTGCTAGTAAATGCACGCTTGGTTTTTTCCTTTGTTTTGAGACTCAGAAAAGTCAGTGGTACAATTCTAGTCCAAGTCTGAAGGCCCAAGAACCAGGGGACCCGATGGTGTAAATCCCAGTGTAGGAGCGGGAGAGGATCCCATATCCCAGCTGAAGCAGCCAGATAGGAAGAAAAGAGGTGAATTCCTCCTTCGTCTGTTTTTTGTTCTGTTCAGGCCCTGAATGGGTTGGGTGGTGCCCACCCACATTGGGAAGGGCAGTCTCCTTTACTGAATCCACCAATTCATATGCTGATTTCATCGAGAAACACCTTCTTCATGGACATACCCAGAAATAATTTTCAATCTGGGTACTTGTGGCTACATCAAGTTGACACAAAAAATTAACTATCATATCATACCGCCCAGTGATGAGAACCCATCTCTGAATCCTTCTTGCATTTCTGCTGGAGAATCCTTTCCACTCTGTTGTTTCTGTGTATGTTTAATCTCCTCTGAATCACTCATCAGACACACTGGGTTGCCTCCAGGCTTTATGAGTTATCTCTGAGGCATCCATTATTATTTGATCAGCTCTCTGATTGCAAAATTGCATAGGTTTTGAGTCATCTCCTCTTTTCCCCCTACCTCTGTTATTTTTGGTGTGACATTTTGTGGACTGTGAGTTATTTCAAAAATGCCCAAACTGTCTTCATATCTACGTAAGGGCATTGCAATGAACTGAATGTTTGTGTCCTTTAAAAAGTTGTATGTGGAAACTCTAATCCTGATGTGATGATATCTTTAGGTGAGGCCTTTGGGAAATGATTAGGTCATGAGGTGGGAGCTGTCTCGACTGGGATTAGTGCCCTTATCAGAATAGGCCAGAAAGCTAGCTCTACCCCCCCACCCCCATGTGTAGTCCGTGGTCTACAACCAAAAGAGGATCTTCACTGGAACCTGACCATGATGGCACCATGATCTCAGACTTCTGCCTTCCAGAACTGTGAGGAATAAATGTTGTTTAAGCCACCCAGTCTATGGTTCTTTGTTATTGTAGCCTGAACTAAGATGGACATGATCACTTTTTTTATATCCTAAAATTTTAAAATGCTTTAATATAAAATAATAAGGGATATTATCTTCCTGGCAGGTAAATGAAATTCAAAGGAAAGTGCCCACAGTAGCCCCTGATGCTGGATCCTGCCTTTCAGTGAAAGTCTTGGTTCCCTCCTATGTCAGAGTCCAGGTTCCTGGAAACTGTCCAGAACTTCCGTCCAGAAATAGAGCCAACCTGCAGTCATCTTTACCGTGGTTGTGCACATCAACGTCAAAGGCATTTTATTGGATGTTTGTGCATGGCTATTCTTTGTAAACATGGTTATACAGATATAGTTTCTATCTTCTAAGAATTTAACAATTTAAGAAAAACAGTGAATAAATGTTATATCTAAGGTGATATGCAAACAGAACAAACATGAAAAATTTAGTTAATTATGTGGAATGTTTTAGAATGATGAACCACTGAAGAACCATACAGGCATTGTGCTTACACTGTATATGTCTGGTGACTGTTTTTACCACTGGAGTAAGAGGGACGTGAAAGATTAGCCACAGTCACTGTCACTTACCAAGACTTATTGGGGAAACTTCATTAGGAATGGAAAAAGGGGTTATATGTGTGGAAAAATCTTGAAATACAGATAAAACAGGTTATTCTAATTAAAGAATATGTTTTTAAAAAGAGATATGAGAAACAAGTCATGTTAAATTGAAAGGGGGTATTGAATATGTGTCTCCCTGGGAGAAGAATTAGAGATAAATGCAGCTGATGAAGGAATCCTGATTTTTCTTCATTCTTAGTATCTCGAAATCCATTTCGTCCCATTTTTTTTTCGAGATGGAGCTTTCATAGAAAGTTAGATTTACCATCTGCCTTGTATTTACCCAAGAAGACCAGAGCACAGTGTTTTCTTGAAATAATAATGCTCACAAATGTCTTAACTCTAGGAACCCCTGAAGGGGAGCATCCAGTGTGCCCTAAGTCCTTCGCACTGGCCCAGCCCTGGACGTCTGGCTTCTCGGTGAGGAAAGGTGAGCAGGCATCGTGGGGTGGGATCCGAAAAGGCAGAGAGAGGGCCTCCTTCACCCCCATCCTCCACCTTCCTGCCTTGAAGGAAAGGTGAGCTTTAAGTAACTGGGAGAGATTATAAAGTTTAGTTAGAGTAAGTTAATAATGATTTCTAGAAATTGCACAAAATATAAGCATTTTAAAGTTTTTTTTTTAATACAGTTCAATATTAATGAGGTAATGAATTCACTCCCCCCCCCCACCTTTTACTGAGATGCAATCTCGTTCCATTGCTGGGGCTAGAGTGCCATGGCATTAGCCTAGCTCACAGCAACCTCAAACTTGTGGGCTCAAGTGATCCTCCTGCCTCAGCCTCCCAAGTAGCTGGGACTATAGGCATGCACCACCACACCTGGCTAATTTTTTCTATTTTTAGTAGAGAACAGGGTCTTGGCCTTGCTCAGGCGGGTCTGAATCTCCTGAGCTCAAGCGATCCTCTGGCCTCAGCCTCCAAGAGTGCTAGGGTTACAGACGTGAGCCACTGCGCCCAGCCCACTTCCCACCTTAAAGTCAAGAATACCACTTCACACGTGGCTTTGTGTGGAAGATGAACTTCAGAGCCTCGTTTCCCTGGTTCCTATGTATAACTCGGTTATATGTGCACCAAAAAATGCTAGTAACGCGTTCTTCTCCCTCACTGCCTCTTGAACTTAGATCATCCAGGAGACGTCTGTAAAATTAACACTGTAAAGAAAGCCTAGCCAGAGTATTTGGGTCAGCATATCAATGGCTTATTGAGTAGGTGCCTTTTAAGCACTGTTGAATGATAGGCAAAACTGCCATAGCTATGCATAAATGTGCTGTGTTGTTACACAGGAGAAAATATCTGCTAATCTTCAGTAATGCTGTATTATTAAGCTAATAAACCTACAGAAAGTTTGTCACAATAGGTGTCTACTAAATTATTATAATGGAAATAATAATAGGAACATTAGCTTTGGAGTTTTAGATGTCTCTAAAGACCTAATTTTGAGGCTTTCATCTTTTCACAAATTTTGGTGCTCCCATCATCATCTTTGCCCAGCCGAGTACAGTTTTTTCAAGAGTAATTATGCCTACGTGTAAACTGCTGCCTCTGACTGTCAGCAAGGTATGTCGAAGACTAGCTGTTCAAGGCTGGTCAACAGTTTTTGGCCATATTATTACATTTTTCCTGTGTGTTCCAACCTTTGTTTTTAGTAATTTCCCATCGTTTTAGTATTTGAATAAAATACTATTTCCATTTTCCAAAACCATTTTGTATATTTTCTTCAATTCCTACATATTAAAGTGAAGTTTACCAATAATCAGGTGATTTGTCTATCATAGCAATGAGTAGTGACACAAAATATGTTGTTTTCATCATCATAGGTTTCCTTGAGGGACGGGATAGTCCGGGTGCTAAGAACCTGGTCCCAGCTTCCAGGATCTTCCACTGCTAGTTGTGTGACCTCAGGGAACTTATTAAATCTCTTGGTGCCTAAGTTCCTTCCTGGGCCAAAGAGGAATAATAATGGTGTATATACCATAGGGCGGTTATGAACGTTTGAAAGAGATCACATATGTAAAACGCCTAGATTGTCCCATGGTGGCACTCAGAGCTTTCTTGTTAGAAAAATGTCGAGAATATGGAATCTGTGGATTCAGACAACACTTCTGCAATAACTACCTTGCCTTTCACCCTTTGATTTTTGAAGTGAGTGGTCTATGCTGTGCTAACAGAAGAAGCTTCTCTCCAGAGATTTTGTTCCTTAAACTAAAACTTACTCTTTAATGCAGAAAAATAGAATTCTTTATTCATGGTTAGATGTATAACTAGGTAGTAGTCTCTTAAGGACAATGAGTAAAATACTTACTTTTTATAAGTGGACGTTATTTTAGCGTTAAAAACAGATATGTACAGGATTAGAGACATCAGGAGGTTGTGGTGAAGGAAGTGGTGTGTGTTTATGAAAGAGCAACATGAAGGATCCTGGTGATGGAGCTGCTCGCTATTCTTGACTGTGGTAGTGGATATGTGAGCCTGCACGTGTGATAAAATCATATGAAACTAGCTACACACACGCGCGCACACACACAAGGACAATTAAATTAGGGAAATCTCAATAGACTAGTGGATCATAGTGATATAAATATACTGGTTGTGATGTTGTACTATAGTTTTGTGAAATATTACTATTGTGGGAAACTGAGTAAAGGCTCTCTTAAAACTGCGTGTGAATCTACAGTGACCTCAGTTACAATTAAGAAATGTGTGTGCAACTATTATGTAAAACTAATAATTTTTATTTTTGTTTTCAGATTGCTCTTGCCTGACTCATACACACAGCGATTGGCTTTTGTAAGTTGACATTTCAATTTTTTTTATCCTCCTCCCTCAATACTTTGTCTTCTCTAATAACATGACAGTATTTCTCTAGAGGTCCTGGAGCAAAAATTAGAGCTAAACTCTCATTATTTGGTTCTCATTTTAAGGTTTGTTTCACTTTTTCTGATACCATTCGGTGATAGCTATTTTGAGGAACTTGGAATTACACATCTTGGGCTGGGGCCTCCATTTCTTTGGAATAACTTCCTATCAGGTTGTGATTAGTGGGAGCAAAGGGCCATCTGTGGAGCTAGGGTTTTATATACATCTGTCCTGTTGGACATTATATACATCTTTATGGCATCCTTGTTTTTAAATTATATAATAGTGTCATTTTGACAGAGAAGAATTGAAATATGCTGAACTAATTTTAAAGATATCTTTCAGAACTGTCATTGTCTGAAGATGGCTCTGTTTTTCATCATGTTAGCAATAAAGGAGAATATTGTCACAAAGTAACGTGGATTTATATTCTCCGGCGATATCTGAGTCACTGTCTTGAATCTTGTTCTAGTAGGTTTTGTTTTACCTATTTTGAGGCCACCAGGAAGACACACATCTCTAATGTAGTCTTCTCCAAAGTACACGCTTTGGCATACTCATTCCTTGGGATGTTAACTGATATTATATGGAAAAGGGGCCTGTGGTCATGTAAATCTGGGGAAAAGACTGAGATTTAAATGAGACTTGTTTCCAGCAAGTGATTATCTAAGATGAGCTTTACTATGCAACCCCTATGTCATCAAACACATCATAGGGCTCGTGTTCCATGGAACATTTTTTGGGGACATATTGCTTCAAAATTTAGGAAATTGATATAAATGACAGGATCAGTTGTACATTTTTCACAATGATAGCAAAAGAAATTAAGGACATTTGAACAGAATGGAAGAAGTAGCATAAAAGGATTATTGGACTAACTTAAAACAGCTGATATAGAGTTAAGCCTAAATAATTATTATGAGTATCGTTATTCAATCAGACAATCCTGTTATTAAAAAATAAATAACAATGGATATAACATAAAAAGTTAAGATCTGTAGAGTGAAAATCTGTGATGTATCTGTCTTCTTGTAGTCATCTACAAATTCTTTCATCATCCTTCCTTATTCCATGAAGAGTCACCGCCTAGCTCACTGTCCTCTCCAAGACTAATGTGTCCTAATTCTTGGTAATTTTAAGACAATATAGAGTCCTTCTAGTACATGGGCTTCTCAGTTCTGTGACTTCCTCTCCTGCTATGATCTTGTCCTATAGACTACTTCAGCCATTTCCTCTCCTAGTCGTGTTGGGGACCAAGTCATTAACAATAACTGTTTTCCCTCTGTGATCTTGATTCCCCACATCCCATTCTCCACCAATCCCATGACTCCAACAGTTTTCTTTTCTTTAGAGACAGGGTCTCTGTCACCCATGCTGGAGTGCAGTGGCACGCTCATAGCTCCCTGCAACCTCAAACTCTTAGGCTCGAGCGATCCTTCTGCCTCAGCTTCCCAAGTAGCTGGGACTACAGGTGCATGCCAAAATTTTTTGTAGAGACAGGATCTCTACGTTGCCCAGCTTGTCTCAAACGCCTGGCTTCAAGCAATCCTCCTGACTCAGCTTCCCAAAATGCTGGAATTATAGACGTGAGCCACTGTGCCCAGCTCCCGACAAATTTTTAACTTCATCTACACATACCACTTTCATACTGCACTTCCCTCATATCTTACATCTTTCCTCACTCAATGTAAATAGCCTACCTTGTCATTCAGATTACCCATACACTCATCTGTCTCCCTCATCCCTTCCTCTTGTTTTGTCGTATTTAGCTGTTTATATCCCAGTGCCTTAGTCTGCCTATTCCATGCCTGCAACAGTCTAGCTGAACATAGCTGGAGGAAAATACCCAGCCATGCTCACTGGTCTTAACTTCACTATTTGATTGCTAACCTGAAGTAGGCCCCTAATATTTTCTGGCAATTTGGACAATTAATTCTAGAAAAATGTTTAAAATATCTTATTTCTCTGTAAACTTCCAGGTCCTCTTTCCCTATTCTCCAGCTGATGACACTGTTTCCTTTTTCACTGGGAAGATAAAAATACCCAAAAGAGAACTTCCATAAGCTTCCATCACCACATCTACCCATCCTCCTGCACCTGTGCCCACATTCTACCTTCTCTTTCTTCTTAGATGAACTGTCTAAATCTAATCTAAATTTTAAACTTGCAGTTATAGTCTTAGATCCCACCCCCCTCATCTGCTCAAGGATATTGCTATAGTAGTTGTCCCTTCTCTCTCCTGAATCATGGATTTCCTCCCACTTCAAAAAAATTATTTAATGCCCATTCCTCTCTAGTTACCACTATATTTAATTTCCCTGCTTCCTTTTCCACAATTCTCAGTCTCTGTCCCCATTCTGTCTTGAGCCCATTTGAGTCAGGCTTTAGTTCTGTCACCCAGTGACCTACTGCTTCATGCTGCTCTATGAAGAACTTTCTTCCCTTGCCTTCTGAGTCTCCACACTTTCCAAGCTGCTGTCCTGTTGCCATGACTGCCCTTATCTGTCTCTCTTGCAGATACTTCCTCATCACCCTGACCTCCAAACATTGGGTGTCCCACGGTACGGTCTTGGTACTGTTCCCCTGTCTGCACTCACTCCCTACCTGCTCTCATGTATTTTCATGGCTTTAAATACATACATGTGGGCAGCTACCAAGTTATCTCCAGTATGAACCTCTCTTATGAACTCTAGATTCAAATAGCCAATTGCTGGCTATCGGATAGGCATACCAAACCTAACCTGTCTACAGATGGGCTCCTGAGTTCTCATCTACTCCCAACCAAACTGCCTTTTCCCTTGGTTGTCCTCATCTCAGTAAATGGCAACTGTTCTTCCAGTTGCTCAGGCTGGACGCCTTGGCACCAGCTTCGTCTCTTCTTTCTGTCATGCTCTACACATCCAGCTGTCAGGAGATACTGTCAGCTCCACCTTGCATATATCCAGAAGGTGACCACCTCTCCCCACCTCTTCTGCTACCACACTGGTGCAAGCCTTCATCGTCTCCTTATTGCAGTAACTTTCTAACTGGTCTCGTTGTTTTAACACTTTCTCCCCTATAACTCACTCTCCAAACAACAGCCAGATAAAATATTTAAAACTGTGAGTCTGATCATGTTACTTTTCTGCTCCAGTGTCTCCAGCGCCTCTGTATCTCACTTACAGGGCCTTATCAGCTCCTGCGTGATACGCCCGTTACCTCTCGCCTGATCTTTTACTGCTCCACCTCACTCACTACTTTTGCCATTACCAGTTTTCTTGTTCCTCAATCGGCGTTTTGTAGTTACTGTTCCTACAAATAGCCACGTGACTTGCATCCTTATCTCCTTCATATCTTCACCAAATCATCACCTTCTCACCCAGGCCTTCCCTGACCAGTGTATTTTATTTTAAATTGGCACCGCTTTCCTCCATCTCACCTTCATAGCACTTCCTGTCTCATCATTACATTATTTTTCTAATTCCCTTCTGGTACATATTTTACTTGTGTGTCTCCCCGTAATTCTAGCCAAGCAACCAGGAAAAAAAAAAGAATACACGAATTACCAGTATGAGTAATGAAAGAAGGGTTATCCTACTGATCACAAGAGTAGTATGGGATTAATAAGAGAATACTACAGACAACTCCTTGCCCACAAATTTGATAAAATGGACTAGTTCCTTAAAATACACATACAAAGTACCAAAACTCATGCAAGGAGAAATAAATAATATGAAAAGACGTGGAGGAAACGTAAATGTATATTGCTAAGTGAAAGAAGGCAATCTTAAAAGGCTATATACTGTGTGATTCCAACTAAATGAGATTCTAGAAAAGGCAAAACTTTGTAGACAGCAAAAAGATCAATGGTTGCCATGGGCTTGTGGGGAAGGAAAAAGGTAAATAGGTGGAACGCAGGAGTTTTGGGGCAGCAACACTTCTGTGTATGATATCTGTCACTATAAATTTGTTCGAACCCAAAGAATGTATGACACCAAGAGTGAACCCTAATGTAAACCAGGGACTCTGGGTGATGATGGTGTATCACTGTGAGTGCATCAGTTGTAACAGATGGGCCATTCTGGTGGGGGATGTAGATAATGGAGGAGGCTATGCATTATGTAGGGGGAAGGGATATATGGGAAATCCCTGTACCTTAGATCCAATTTTGCTATGAACCTAAAACTGCTCTAAAAAGTAGTCTATTAAAAAAAAAAGGGAAATTAGAAAGTATTTTGAACTGAGTGAAAATGAAAACATATTTTCATATGACTAAGATGCAACTATAGCAGTGTTTACAGGCAAATTTGTGGCACTACCTGCCTATGTTAGAAGAGTGGTCTCAAATTAATGACTCAGTATAAGGGACTGTCACAATTGTCTTCAAATACCTGAATGTCTCTCATTAAAAAATGTTTGTTTCATGTTGTTAGAGAAGCCCAAATTAAAGGTGATTACAGAAAGGCAACTCTCAGCTCTTGGTAGGAAAGAAAACAGGCATCATACTTCACCAGCAGTGGGCTGAGTGTTTTTAGTGAGACATATTCCCTTAGATGTTCTTAAGAATTCTTTCCTACTCTTAATTTCTGAGAGAAATAGTAGTGTAGAAAAATACTTCTCAATATTCACAGGCTATAGATTAACATGCACATTTAAAATGACATGCTGCACATTAGGTAATATATTAATAAGAATAAGCAGTAATTTTAAGGCACAGAACTGTAGAATTAGAAGGTGCCTTAAACATTAAGTTAAACAACAGTGGCTTCAACTCCCTGCCTCTTTAATATGAAGGCCTCAGATGAAATTTATAAAATTCATCTCTCTCTCCCTCTTTCTCTCTCTCTCTCTCTCTCCCCCTTCCGCTTAAGTTTGCACATGAACAAAAGCAGTGAAAGAGAACAAAATCACTGAGTGATATATTCAGAATTCACAAAGCCTGTCTCAAGCTC